CCTCTAAGTGGACGACCAGGCACTTCTGTAGCGTCTCCTTGTCCAGCTCGCTGTGCATTGTAAGTCGCCACTATCATGTCCAATTGGTATGCCGTAGCCTTCCCTTCACTGGGAGACGGTCTATCAGGAATTGTAATGACCTGCTGGCGACACGGTTGATAGCTGAAGCCCTGGCAGTCGATCTTCGGATAAGCTGCCAAGTCCTCGTGCCGTTGATCCAGCAGGGGCGCCCAGCTCCACCGAGCGTGAGGGCGCAAGAGAGGAAGGATCTCCTCTGGGAGTCGCGGTGGCGGCTCAACTCGTGCGTGCTTAGCAATTGCATCCGACATTTCGTTCCACGGGTGCCCTGCATGACCAGAAGTGTGGGAGAGGGTCACCCTGTGGGTCAGACGAAGCGCATCCAGGGCGTGAGCAGCAAGGGTCGCAAAGGGGTCCTCCTGCTGGGTCCCAGACGAAGTGCGTGCCAAAGCAGGAATGCAATCGCAGACGATCTCAACCTGGAGGCTCGCATCAAGCTGCATGGCGTAGAGAATTGCCCACAGTAAGCCAGCAGTCTCAGTTGTAACCGAATTGAAGTCCCGATCGGTCAGGTCGTACGAGATGCTGTCTGTCACGAACGCGCTGAAGAAACCAGCGAACTTGAACCTGTCCCCGTCAGACAACACCACAGTACACGCCCAAGCTGACTTTGAAGGGTCGTCCTTGTGGTATGATCCGTCAGAGAAAATAAACACGTTTGTAGCAGGCCGCTCCAGATCCGTGGCGAAAGTCAGCGCGAGCTGCGTGTGCTGGTGCATCTGTAGACTGGCCACGTTTCTCTGTAAACGAATGCTCCACTTAAGCCTGTCGTACTCGACGCTGAGGGGGACAGGAACATCCATACTGCATACGCGATGGATCGTATCACTTATATCGTCACGGCCCGAATCAGTAGCCTGAAGAATCTCTCGGTTAATTATAGGTGAAACAACGCTGGACCCGACCGTTTCGGCAGGTGAGGCGCCTGGAAGGGCCGACGTGGTTGGCCTCTCTAAGCACCAAGGTCGAAAACTCTGAGCATCAGATGACGCCTGGGTACCGCCTGGAGTACCACACAGGGGTTGTAAAGCCTGCCGCTGAGAAACCCTCCAACGCCCCTCGTATTCAGAAGCGGGTGAGTCTCGAAGGTCGGCAGGGGCACGATCTCGAACAGCACGAGAAGGTACAAGATGCATAGGGGGATAATCATGCGCTCCTGGGCCCGCCCCCCCCCCTATCGGAGGTGGGCCTTCCCCTGATGTCAGGGGCCTGCTGTTGATGAAGCCGCCGATCCGTCCGCCCGAGGCACCAACAACTCATCGTCATCATCATGATCACGTGCAACCTGCGCTGGAGGGGAACTGTGATCTACAGCAGTAGGAAATCCGCCTCTAGTTCCATGCCGTCGAGTTCGGTCGTTGTTGTCCAGGGGTCTGGCGGCTGGGTACAAGAAGGATCTGCCATACTTCAAGGCCGGCCTCTTGGACTGCAGGGAACGGTCAGTATCCTCGACCTCAGATGGAGGGGCACCAATCCTACCTCCGCGGACCTCCTCCAAGCCGTCCGCCTCAAGGTCCAGCTCACGCCCCTTGCTACGTACTTCGTCGTCATGATCTTGAACCTCCTGGACCTCTTCCGACTGAGACACTCCTCCAGCAGCTTGAGCCTCCGTAGTCTCCTGGACCTCCAAATGCTGGTGAACGTCTCCGCGAAGCGTTGCTGCTGCAAGAGTGGCCACCTGCTCCTCTTCATATTCAGCTTGTACCTTCTCACAGTGCTCCTCGTACGCTGTAAGTGCCGAACGATACGCCCTCGCATCTTCCTCTTGCTCGAAGCGGTAGTATTCCTCTGCTTCCAAAGCCATCTCTTCCTCTTGCATCACCTCGAACTCAAGAGACTCTTCTGCATCAAACTCCGCCGCTGCCGTCATCAATTGCTCTGCGTCTACGTCCGAAGCGGAATCCATAGTTGTACGTGGCCAGGGGGCACCTCGAGTATTTCCAGCAACACTGTCACCTTGAAAACCGACCTGGGACAACGGTAAGCCGCTCGACGACCCTGAACACAAACCAACTTCATCTGGGACAAGCCCTAGAAACCCACCCACGTCTTCTCCAACGCGGCCAAGGGGATCACTACGAGGAGGAGGTGTACTTCCGAGGGATTTTTGCAGCACAGGCTGCATGGCCTCGGCATTTGCTGCCTTGAAAGCCTCCATCTGATGCTGCTCTCGTAGCCATCTCTCAAACAACATCTGCTCGCGCTCGTCCTCGATGAGATCCAAACGAGCAGCTGTCTCTTCAGCACACAACATGTCGTCGACCAAACGAGTTCCTGTAGACGGTGGGGTCGGGACCGCTGGAGAACGGCTGGCTTGTGCACGGAGATGATCTTCATATGCGTCGGCGTCCACCTGCTCCTGCTGTTCCTGCCTTTTCAATTCATCGCTAAAGACTCGCTCTTCTCTACTTAAACTGCTGCCAACAGGTACGCTAGTAACGCCATGATACGGACTATACATAGCATCAGGAACACGCCGCACACGCTTCTGTGGCCCAAAGGCTGACTGAGTCGCCTGGGACTGTCGGATAGACATAATCTGCTCCTCGTAGTGCCTGTGACGTTCTTCTGCTTCACGAACAGCTGCCACGGCTCGTCCTCGGTCACGTTCGGCCAGTTCTTTGTGCTCAGCGAGACGTGTCCATGCCACCCGATAATCCTCCTCGTTCTTGCTCTTCATCTCGAGTACTTGTGAGATCATCTCCTTCTGCGCGTCTTCAAGTTGCTTCCAATCTTGTTGCCGAACATTCTTCTGGTGCTCCACAGTATCTGCCAGTCGCTTCGCGTGAGTCTCTTCTCTGCCTATCAAATCAGCCTGTGCCCTCGCAAGGAGATCTCTCTGCTCGGTGATAGACTCTTCCTGACGCTTGCGTTCCTGAGCTTCACGACGGGCCTCTATCTCACCACGCTCGGCCTGCTGCCTCCAGTATCCAATGTGTTCTTCAAACATCCTGCGCTGCTGCTGCCATTCCAAGTTTGTGTGGTGCATCTGCGCAGCAAACCTCTGAGACTGTACGTATTGTTCTTGCACAACAGCTTGACGAAGTTGCTCGACGTTTTCGTAGTGCTGGTGATGCTGGTACTTCGCTGTCTCAGGGAGGGATTCCCCACCCACACCTTCCGTCACCGTCGCCTCCGTGTCCCCCGTCGGTCGGTACCCTCTGCCCCCCAAGCGCCCCATGGGCTGGGGAGGTGGACTAGGCCTACCTCCCAAGCGCCCCGTGGGCTGGGGAGGTGAGCAGTGCGTGCCGACGGGTGTTAGCCTAGCCGTCGCTTCTTGTGGGGCTGGTGTGGGCTGCTGCACCAAACCTCCTGTCGGCATCCCTGGAGTTGACGAACATGCAATACTTCTTGGTGGTACCGCTGGAGGTAGCACTGAAGTCGAGGATGCCAGCCTGGGAGGTGCGGCCTCAGGTGGAGGCCTCTTAGGAGGATGTCCTGCCAACTGTGAGTGTATAATACTAGAAGCCAGTTCCTTCTGGATCTCCTCCGCAGACAGTTGGCCCCCGTACCGATCGCTCATCGTCCGACGCTCCACCCCAGTGCTGGCTGGCGGTGTTGGTGTCAATCTTGTTGGGGAACCAGCTGGGGAACTCGCTATCGTCTTCGGTGGCGACCTTGCAGGGCTAGGAGAGCATCGACGAGCGTCGTCCTGCGCTGGGTTCTGCACTCCAAGCTGCTGCATCGTGCCTCGTCCCCTCGTGATATGCCCCTGCGGTGTACTCAACGAAGCCTGGCAGCGCAAATGTTTGCCGTCCACAATCGGAGTGGGATACCTTGTTGTCGCTGCTGGCTGGGCTGGCGGTGGAGGTGGCGGTGGAGGAGGTGGAGGGACTTCCGCCTCCTCTTCGACTTCACGACCAGCACTCTTAGCCCTCTCCGCCAGATCCCGTCGTCGATCGTACCCATAATCTTCGCCAGCAGTATTGTCTGAAACCTCCTTCCTGGCCTCAACTGCTTCTCGGAATAGATCTCTGTGGTATTCGTACACCGTTCGATGATATAGCATATCGTCCGCCAAAATCTGCTGCTTCTTCTCTAGTGCCGCGATCTTCTCTTCAGCTTGCACCATTCCTGCTTGAGCCTCGGCTCTCTGAACAGCAACGGGTTTCAACTGCCAGTGCATCCACTTCATGACACTCAATTCGTGCTCCTGTGCAGCCATGTACGTGCCCGCTTTCTTGCCTTGCACCAGTAGCTCCGCCAACTTGAGCATCCTGTCCTCAACCTGCTGCTTGTACTGCTTCATCTCGCGAGGCTCAGGGGGCGGCTTGTAAGCCGCATGACGTAGTGCATATTCCTGCGTACACATCATATGTGAGTCCAGCGTACTTTTGACCTCCGAACGAAAACTCGACTTCTCCCGCTCTCGACGTTTCTCATCGGCTTGGCGTTGTTGCTGCTTCCTCCACGTCATATTGCAGTTCTTCCAACCACCTCGGGCTCCATCTCGAATCTTGCCTTTGCATACCCATGTACCCTGGTCGTTGATCGATTGGCATTCAATACATGTCCACGTGCCAGCAGTTCGTCCTGACGCCATACTTGAATGGTGCAGCTCAATCAATCTTCTTGCACGCTCCAATCGCAGAACCACTCGAGCCTCAGCTCGTCGTCTCCTGGCTCTCCTATGCCAGGCAGGACTTCGCTTCCTCTTCGACGACGCCGTCGACCCAGTCGGCCTCGAACCAGTCCTGCTCCTTCCTCCCGACCGTCCGCAGCTATGGCTGCGGCTGCGGCCCGCGGGCGCGCGTGCGCCGCGCTTGGGCGCGGCCGCGGGTCCTGGGCTGCCCTGCCCGCCCTCGGGCCGTGACGCCTCCTCCTCCTCCTCCCCCTCCTCCTCCTCCTCACCCGCCGGGGGGGGGGGAGTGGGGCGGGGAGGTGGGGCTCGGAGGCGGCGGCGGCGGCAGCGGCGTCCAGACCTCGGCCTGCGCGTGGCGCCGCTTCCAGAGGTCCGCCTCGGCCCGGTGGAGCGCAGCCTCGGGGCCCGCGGGGGGCACCGGACGCCCGCGGCAAAACAGGATCGAGGAAAGGGAGGAGGAGGGGGAGGAGGATGAGGAGGAGGAGGAGGAGGAGGAGGAAAAGGAGGACGAGGAGGAGGAGGAGGAGAAAAAGGAGGACGAGAAGGAGGAAGAGGACGACGATGAGGAAGAGGAGGAGGAGGAGGAACGACATCCACTGCCACTGACCTCCCTACAAGGAGCAAAAAGTAGAAGTGTCGACAGTGATCCCAGCCCCCTTAGGGTGGAATCCCTTGCCGAGCAGCCTCCAACTCTCGCATTTTTGAGGATGCGAGACAGGCGCGCAGAGCTTCGCGAGATTCGCGAGGCGTGCCCCAGAGGTGAAACAGCCACACCTCTGGCATATAAAAATTATAGTCGGAGTGCAGAATCCCCAAACAGGGTTTTTAGACTCACTGCGGTTTCCAAGGTCGATTGCGTGCCCGTCCAGTGCGGGCTGGCATGGCATGTTAAAACATGCCTCCTCCTCCTCCTCCTCCTCCACCTCCTCTTCATCCCGAACGGCATCTCGGAGCCCAGAGTTGCGAGGATGTCTCCAGCGTAACGGGCTGGACCACCTCGCGCGCGGCATTTCGGACCCCAGAGTTGCGACGATGTCTCGGGCGAAACGTGCTGCGAGGAAGTCTCAGGCGAAACGGGCCGACCACCTCGAGCGCGGCGTCTCAGAGCTCCGAGTTGCGGGGGCCTCCTGGGGCCTCCTGGGACCTCCTGGTGACCTCCTGGGGCTTCCTCCTGGGCCTCCTGTGGCCTCCTGGACCCCACCTGGGGCTTCCTGGAGCTTCTTGGGCTGGACCACCTCTTGCGCGGCATCTGGGAGCTCAGAATTGCCAGAATGTCTTGTGCGAAACAAGCCGGACCACCTTGCGCACGGCATCTCAGAGCTCAGAGTTGCGAGAATGTCTTGTGCGAAACGGGCCGGACCACCTCGCGCAGGGCATCTCAGAGCTCAGAAGTTCGAGGATGTCTCAGGCGGGCTTCCAGGGTCCCAGGGAGGATATGTAACATGTGGTCTTCTGGGCCCCCAGGCTGGACCACCTCTTGCGCGGCATCTGGGAGCTCAGAGTTGTGAGAATGTCTTGTGCGAAACAGGCCGGACCACCTTGCGCACGGCATCTCAGAGCTCAGAGTTGCGAGGATGTCTCAGGCGAGACGGGCCAGACCACCTCGCGCAAGGCATCTCAGAGCTCAGAATTTCGAGGATGTCTCAGGCGAGACGGGCCGGACCACCTCTCGCGCGGCATCTCCGAGGGTAGAGTTTTCGAGGATGTCTCAGGCGAAACGGGCCGGACCACCTCGCGCAAGGCATCTCAGAACTCAGAATTTCGAGGATGTCTCAAGCGAAACGGCCTGGACCACCTCTCGCACGGCACCTCGGGGCTCACAGTTTCGAGGATGTCTCAAGCGAAACGGCCCGGACCACCTCTCGCGCGGCGTCCTGGAGCGCAACTTTTCGAGGATGTCTCAGGCGAAGCGGCCAATCCTGGCCAACTCAGAAACGAGAGTTGTGAGGATGTCTCAAGCGAAACGGCCCAGACCATCAAATTTTTGTGAGGATGTCTCTGCTCCGCGTTCCCTCGGCCGGAGTTAGTTTCTATCACAACAGCACCCCGTTCAGCAAGCTGTTTGGGGAAAAATCGTGACGTCGGATGTCTGCGGAGGGCGGAAGGCAGGGCGCGCATGGCGGCATCTCGGAGCTTCGCATTGTGAGGATGGCTCTGGAGAAACGGGCTGGACCACCTCGCGTGCGGCATCTCGGAGCTCAGTATTGGAAGGATGCCCCAAGCGAAACGGGCCGTTCTACTTCTCGACTCCCGCTAAGCCCTCTCATGCAACTTCATTCCTCATCCCTCCTCCTCCTCCTCCTCCTCCTTCTCGTCCTCCTCTTCCGCCTCCTGCCTGCTCCCTCCTCCTCCTCCTCCTCCTCCTCCTCCTCCTCCGGCTCCGGCACGTTTTGAGACGTCGCTAAAAGGTATAACAAATCCTGTTTGGGTAACCCTGTCTTGGAGCCCAGAGTTGCGAGGACGTCCCAGGTCGCACCTGGTCGACGAGTAAGCTGTCGGGTCGGCACTGTGAGAGGCTCCACCACCATGCTGCGAACTCAGAAGCAACTTTAAGAGGAAGTGGGGGAGGGCGCGGAAGCGGGGGGGCATGTCGTGATGGTTCCCTCGGGAATGATATCGAGAGGTACGCGGCGCACGTCTCAAAAGAGAAATCGTGACGTCGGATGTCTGGAGAGGGCGGAAGGCAGTGCGCGCATGACGGATGCTGAGGCGGCAGAAACGACGACGGCGGGGACGGGGAGGCGGAGGCAGAGGCGCAGCAGCGGGAGGCGGGAGGCGGGAGGAGGGAGGAGGGAAGAGGAACCAGGCGGGAAGTGGGAAGAGGGAGGCGGGAGAAGGAATGAGAGAGGTTGTGATTGGAGCTCCTGTGCTACGAAACGTCTCAGGCAGAATGGGCCAGACCATCTCGCGCGCAACATCTTCGAGCCTCGCATTGCGAGGATGGCTCAATCGAAACGGGCCGGACCACCTCGCGAGCGACATCTTGGAGCTCAGTATTGGAAGGATGTCTCAAACGAAACGGGCCGGACAATCTTTCGCACACGTTTTGACAAGTCCACATCGCACTCGCTTCCCGTTAGGTCCTCTCCTGCAACTCCTTTCCTTCTCCCTCCTCCTCCTCCTCCTCCTCCTCCTCCTCCTCCTCCTCCTCCTCCTCCTCCTCCTCCTGCCTGCTCCCTCATGCACATCATCCGCCTCCTCCTTCTCCCATCCATCTCCTTCTTCTCCTCCTCCTCCTCCTCCTCCTCCTCCTCCTCCTCCTCGACCTCCTCTTCATCCCGAACGGCATCTCGGAGCCTAGAGTTGCGAGGATGCCTCCAGCGTAACGGGCTGGACCACCTCGCGCGCGGCATCTCGGACCCCAGAGTTGCGACGATTTCTCGGGCAAACGTGCTGCGAGGAAGTCTCAGGCGAAACGGGCCGGACCACCTCGAGCGCGGCGTCTCAGAGCTCCGAGTTGCGGGGGCCTCCTGGTGCCTCCTGGGGCCTCCTGGGGTCCTGGGGACCTCATGGGGCTTCCTCCTGGGCCTCCTGCGGCCTCCTGAACTCCACCTGAGGTTTCCTGAAGGCTCTTGGGGCTCCAAGGGGGGATACCTAACCTGTGGCCGCTTGGGCCTCTCCAAATGGAGGGGGGGGCACAAGAGCAGGAAGAATCAACGAATCGACACTGGATGTGTATTGACTTCACACGTTCTGATAGGCGGCCTCCTGGGGCCTCCTGGGAGCCTCCTAGGAATCTCCTGGGGACCCCTGGGGCCTGTCCTGGGCGTCCTGCGGCCTCCTGGGGCCTCTCTGGGGCCTCCCCCTCCTCCTGCCTGCTCCCTCATGCTCCCTTCCATCTCCTCCTCCTCCTCCTCCTCCTCCTCCTCCTCCTCCTCCTCCACCTCCTCTTCATCCCGAACGGCATCTCGGAGCCTAGAGGCGCGAGGATGCCTCCAGCGTAACGGGCTGGACCACCTCGCGCGCGGCATCTCGGACCCCAGAGTTGCGACGATGTCTCTGGCGAAACGTGGTGCGAGGAAGTCTCAGGCGAAACGGGCCGGACCACCTCGAGCGCGGCGTCTCAGAGCTCCGAGTTGCGGGGGCCTCCTGGGCCTCCTGGACCTCCTGGGGACCTCCTGGGGCTTCCTCCTGGGCCTCCTGTGGCCTCCTGGACCCCACCTGGGGCTTCCTGAAGCCTCTTGGGGCTCCCAGGGGGGATATCTAACCTGTGGCCGTTTGGGCCTCTCCAAATGGAGGGGGGGGCACAAGAGCAGGAAAAATCAACGAATCGACACCGGATGTGTATTTACTTGAGACGTTCTGATAGGCGGCCTCCTGGGGCCTCCTGGGAGCAGCCTCCTGGGAATCTCCTGGAGACCCCTGGGGCCTGTCCTGGGCGTCCTGCGGCCTCCTGGTGCCTCCTGGGGCCTCCAGGGGACCTCCTGGAGCTTCCTCCTGAGCCTCCTGTGGCCTCCTGAACTCCACCTGAGGTTTCCTGAAGCCTCTTGGGGCTCCCAGGGGGACATCTTACCTGTGGCCGTTTGGGCCTCTCCAAATGGAGGGGGGGGCACAAGAGCAGGAAGAATCAACGAATCGACACTGGATGTGTATTGACTTCACACGTTCTGATAGGCGGCCTCCTGGGGCCTCCTGGGAGCCTCCTGGGAATCTTCTGGGGGCCCCTGGGGCCTGTCCTGGGCGTCCTGCGGCCTCCTGGACCTCTCTGAGGCCTCCTGAGGCTCGCAGGGTCCCATGGAGGATATGTCACATGTGGTCTTCTGGGCGCCCAGGCTGGACCACCTCTCGCGCAGCATCTGAGGGCTCAGAGTTGCGAGAATGTCTTGTGCGAGACAGGCCGGACCACCTTGCGCACAGCATCTCAGAGCTCAGAGTTGCAAGGATGTCTCAGGAGAGACGGGCCGGACCACCTCGCGCAGGGCATCTCAGAGCTCAGAAGTTCGAGGATGTCTCAGGCGAAACGGGCCGGACCACCTCTCGCGCGGCATCTCCGAAGTCAGAGTTTCGAGGATGTCTCAGGCGAAACGGGCCGGACCACCTCGCGCAAGGCATCGCAGAGCTCAGAGTTTCGAGGATGTCTCAGGCGAAACGGCCCGGACCACCTCTCGCGCGGCACCTCGGGGCTCAGAGTTTCGAGGATGTCTCAAGCGAAACGGCCCGGACCACCTCTCGCGCGGCGTCCTGGAGCGCAACTTTTCGAGGATGTCTCAGGCGAAGCGGCCAATCCCGGCCAACTCAGAAACGAGAGTTGTGAGGATGTCTCAAGCGAAACGGCCAAAACCATAAACATTTTGTGAGGATGTCTCTGCTCCGCGTTCCCTCGGCCAGAGTTAGTTTCTATCACAACAGCACCCCGTTCAGCAAGCTGTTCGGGGAAAAATCGTGACGTCGGATGTC